GTGCAGATGTGCTTACACTGTAAACACCGCGCGCTGTCTCGGGGCTCAGCCAAGCCACAGCCAACGTAATGGGAAAAGCTGGGGGGTGGGGAATGCTGGGGGGAGAGGGTGGAGGGAGGGGGGCTGGCGATTTGCCTGCGCGCACACGCGTGCACGCCCCCGTGGCCGAAAAATCAAAACAACAACAACAACAACAACAACGACGACGACAAGAAAAAAACAGAAAGAAACAGAAAGTCGTGGGGGCCAACGTAGGTGCCAGCGATGTGGGCGAGCTGACCGCTACTGGTACTGGGACTGGTGCTGGCACTACGCAGGGAGGGAAGTCCAGAAGCCCCCTACAGCACCTGGAAGAATCCAAGCCAACAGACTCTGGCTCTCGTACTGTCCGGGAGCTGGCAGCGTGTCACCTAGATGAAGATCTATCGTGATGCGATTTCTTATCAGAAAAAGATGACAGCAATGAAGTAAACACACACACACACTTTGTAACTGATGAGATCGTGCGCCGTCTCTTTTTCTCCATCCGCCAGGGTCCGCTGGCATGGTTGTCAGATTTCGCTTCAGTTGTCTCGGTGCGGCTGGAGCTCGGCCTTTTGCCGAGAGGCTTCAGAAGCTGTGAACAGGGAGGATTCATGTGCTCAGGAGAGCTTGTCTCTGATCTGCCTGCAGGGGAGGGCATTGTATTGCAGGGGCAGATGGGGAAAGGCGTAAGAAGAGTTAAGAGACAAGCCGTCTAGCCTGTGTATCGGCTTGAGCAACATGGCTGTGCAGCTTGTTCCACGCCCCCACAACCCTCTGTGTAAAGAAGTGCCTCCTGCTCTCAGTTTTGAATGCACTTCCGTGTATTTTCCATCTGCTTCCTCTGTTTTGTGTCTCCCTTTTCTTCCTAAAGAGGTTCCCCGGGACGACTTTGTCCAGGTCTTTGAGAAAATTTTGAAGACTTGGATCAGGCCCTCCTCCACTGTAGTCTTTTCGGCTCGAGGCTGGCTAAAGGGGACTTTTTCGCTCAGCCCACCAGTGTGGGAAAACCTTCTTTTTAAGGACCTGCCCCCGATCCGGCCATGTGTACAGCGAAGGGCGTTGGTGCTCTTCTGGAACCGAACGAGAAGAGGGTGACGGCGCATTCTGAAATCGTTTCTATCGCCCAAGCCACAGCGGCCACACGGCCCCAGTGGACGTCACCAGTGCGGCGTGACACAGAAGCCCCAGACACCGAGGCGCAGGCAGGCAGGCAGGCCGGGCCTGGACGGCTTGAAATGGCTCCGGACGGACACTGGCAGCGCCGCCGGCGCCCCAGCTGCTGCTCCGCACGGCTCTCCCCCGCCCCAACGGTTAGGGCCTCCTGCGAAGAGCAGGGGCTTGTGGGAAGGAAGCGTGCGGTTTGCCTCTAACCACCCTTCAGTTGCCCTTCCCTCCCCCCTCCCCCCCCAGTCTCTCGCCCCCTCGCTCACACGCAGACACGCTGTGCACACTGTACAGGCTCCTGCTCCACACTTCCTCCGACCTCAGCCCCCAAAGGATACAGGTGCTGCCAGGAGCTGTTCCTCTTTCTGCTCGGCGCTGTTTCGCATTGTGCTTTCCACGTTCCAGCCCAGCGGCCCGCGTGCCGGCTCCCGCTGGCAGCAAACCGGCACCCAGACGTACCGGGGACGCGCCGTGCCGGGCCGCTCATTCAGAACGAGAGCTGTCGTTATGACCGCGGGCGCGGCACTCCTGCGAGCGCGTCGCCCCCTCCCCTATGTAGCTGTGTGCTCTGTTGTGTTTGTGGTGGGCTTTCATGCCTTGCCCCTTTTCTGCCCACACCAAGCTTTCGTTCTCTGCCGATGGGCCCTGTTGGCGTTGGCGCCTTTGCCGGGTCCAGGCCCAGGTCCGGTTCTCCAGGTGCTGCTGTCCAGCAGGGCTGCTCCGGCAGCTCAAGAACAAGGAAAGCCTTCAGCTTGTCCGGTTACTGTAAGCGCACAGAGAGTTCTATCGTGTAATTAAGAGCTCCGGTGAAAAACCTCTCCAGGACTGGTGTTGCTTCCCCTGCTCCAGAGGAATTATCCTGGAGGACGTCTACGTGAAAGCATGTTTTTCTGACATGAGGCGTATGCAGATCCATACCTAGTTTCGATTTTACGCTTTTTTTACAAATGTAAGAATGGTCTCAAACAACATGAGGCCATGCGGCCTGTTCAACCTGGTAGTCTGGCAGTCTGTCCATCCATTTTCCCACTCCAAGCCACCAGGGAGCTGGAGCCTATCCCCACAGGGGATACAGGCGCCAGGCAGGACACGCCCTGGATGGGACGCCAGTCCATCACAGCGCACACGCACTCCCACCAGGATCACATTTCCCAG